AATGGGCGTAATTTTAGTAAGTAACAATCTCGTTGTTCGATGTAAAAAATCTTTTGAATAATACCGTAGTGCATTTTGTTATGATGTTGGTAAACTACGTACGAATCTGAAAACGTTTTCGATTTGGAGCTATTTTCTGTTGATAATGATAAATGCTGACATACAACTACAAGAATAAAATATAAAAATGATAGATTTGCTGTTCTATAATCATATTTGGTTAGTAATGTGCGATTATGAAGCATAGTACCGGTGCAAAAAATTCTCTGGAGCAGATGTGTTATAAATCGATCTTGAAAGCTTTAGCATTTGTGAGGTTTTGAATAGCTGCTAAAACCAGTTTACGTAAAAAGAATAGTAACGATAGAGACAACAACACTCAAAATTACAAAATATTAGCTGGAACCGTGTTTGTCTCTATTGTCAACGTAGTTCTTATTTAGAGCGATTCTAGTCGTTTATTTAAATCCGCATAAATGATTGGAAGTTTGCGATTTTATCCATAGTTTGTTTTCTTTGGCTATATAGGCCTTACTCGATTTCATTGATTTTATTGTGTACTCCTTTGGAAATGATTTGTATAATAAATCCAAGTCATCTTCAGAAATATTTTCGGTTGATATTCGTTGCTTAGGATGTTGTTTGTTTTTTGTATCTAAATATTTTATAAATGTCGAAAGATATGATGATGAACAATGATCTGTAGATGCGAAGTAAGCTTCTTTAAACAATTGAAGATTTATTATTAATTCGCTACCAACTCGTTTAGTACCATGAATGGATGCTGATAGGTATCCTGTGCAAAAGCGAATAAAAAAGGATTTCATGAAAAATAGAACCTGGATGGAACCATACCGATAACACTTTCATAATTGAATGTGCTGTAATTGAACAAAGGACCAAAGTCGTTCACTGTTTTTGCAAAATGTTTTACTGAATGAATATTTTGCACAATATATCGTTCGTGATAAGGAAAATTATCAACAAAGCTAGATAATAATAATTCCATATCATTTAAATTTTTTGACGAGATATTTCTCGACTCTCCAATAGTAATACCAAATGCTAGCATTTTTAAATGATTATAATACACTTCGGGCAAATACTTTTTAAAAATCGGATATCCGATTAATAGTAAAACTCGAGATTCATTAGCTTTTAACTTGAAGCACTTGCTTAAATTTCGTGGTGCTCTTGTTGTTGTGCTAGGATAACGTATATTTGCAAGATCAATAGTTATCAATGGAAGAAAACTCGATATTGACCATGGTTGCTTTTTTGATGATTCTATCCATAATTTCAACAATCTCTTCTATTTTAATAAATAATATATAACAACCTTTTTTTAAAATCTTTCACTACGTACGAAGGCACCATGATATATTGTATGCAATGTATCGCACATAAACGATATACCACGATCAACAAAGGCTAAATTAGTAAATTCACATTCACCCAGATAACCATACGAATGTATTTTCTTATCACAACATATAAACTGATGACCATTTTGAAGAGCATGGCTGATTTCATGCCATCGTGCATTTGATCGCATTTGCGGTCTGTCGTTTGCTGGCGTTGGAAAAATCCGAACATATGTGGTTGTTATTTTCTTTGACGTTGTTGGTGTTGCATGGATTTTAGCTGCTGTTGTATATCCTAAAAAGAAAAGAAAAGAGCACTATTTCATATTTATTTAGTAAAAGACAATAATAGAAAATGACCAGCAATTTCACATTTAGAACAGCCATAAAGTGCATTTGGCTCCGGTTGATTTTGTACAAGACTATTGGCAGGTTTGTAATTACTTATTCCAATAAGATAAACACGTAACATTTCATATGAGTTGACGGAGACTTGATATAATTTCGGTTTTTGTAATTCTTTAAGGCGTAAGACTATCGGAGAAAGCATTTTTTGCATGATAACTCGTGATGGCTTTTTCCGACCTACACTAATAGCCAGTACTAAAATGAAGTGAAAAATTTCAAAGAGGTATATTTTAAAAAATGACTTTTTACCAATAATATTTTCCATAGAAAAACGAATCGTTCGTTTAAGTTCATTTATACAAGCTGTGAAAGTCCACATACTTTGTTCACTACTTGTATAAACTGCTACGCCATCAATATTGCATGTTAATGATATAAAATTCGGTTGACGCTCATTCTTCAATGAATATAGAATATTTCTATACACATTCCCATCCTGAATATCATTCATTGATTCTTCAGAAGCTCTGCACCTTGTCTCTGGTAGACGAAGATCATTTTGGTTAATTGATCTTAAAACTTGTTGAATTTGTTGTTGAATATTCATTATCATAAACGTGTGAGGTGCTACTAATGTGTTTGTACTATATGAGCAATATGAATCAGTACATTTATTCGGATTATTTGATTCATTATTGCACTCTGGACAAAAATATAGTGTTAAATCAATCATTTTCTCTTTTTCTTTTGGCTTTTTATTCGATCTACTAATAATTTGTTTTAATTTGTGCCAGGATGATGGAACATGCGGCACTTTCAGTAATGTTAAAAGTTTTAATAAATCGATTACGAGGTTGTTTGTGCACTTATGTCTCTTTTTGATCATCAATAAAACTACTGAAATATCCTACAAAAGAACATAATCTCAAGAAAATGTACATATAGTGATAGATTTAGAACTCCAATGAATTAAGATCGAGTCGAAAGTGATAGTCATTTACTCGAATTTTATTACTTACTAGGTCATCATAATCACGAATTGGTATTGATGAACTTTCCATATTAAAAAATTCCTTACCGAATTTTACCTGTTTTTCACTTAAGTCACTTTCAATATCTTCGTCTTCCTCAGAATCTTCTTCGTTTTCATTTTCATCATCATCGGTTACGTCCTTGTTGTCAGCATCGGCAAAATACTCGTTATCAAAATCAAAATCAATATCCAAATCTGTATTATCAAAATCATCAGCATGTTCATCATTTGTGTTTTCATTAATTGACAAATAAGCAAATACGTCATCTATTTTCAGATCTGTTAATGCACCGTGACTACACTTTTGTTCTTGCAATCTCTTCACATTGGCTTTATTCCGCATCCTCTTGGTTGATATTTCATATTTATGATTTGACCAATGTACGCGATTTTTCCTTTTAACTGTTTCATTTTTTTTTGTAAAATTTATTCGTGGTCTCATCTAAACAAGAAGACAATGAACTTGGTATTAGCAAAAATACATGGAAAAAATATCGAGTTTATTGTGTATTTCAAACAGGCATGAGGAAGTTTTATTTCTGTCGCTTATCATGAAGTAACGAGTGTGATGGGTTTCGTGAAACAAAATGTTCTCTCGAGATCACGATTGTGTCAAACAGAACTGCAACTCCTAAACAATCAACAGAACTCGACAGAAATAAATCAAGGCTTATGTAAAAACGATTTTATACTTTAAAAATTCACTTTAACTTTTGAAAGATACCGCGGTTACAATC